AAAACAAACAAACGCCCCAAGGATGAAGAGAAGGCACAAGGAACCTTAGCACCGTATCCCCAAGCCTAACCCGGGTGCGGTTTCCAAATGTTGAAATTGAAATTGAATTTTGAAGTTTCTAACCCGACGTTAAATCCGGCCCAGTGAAGCCGTTGCCTACGGGCGTCGACATGTTAAAAAAAAAAAAAAAAATTTTTTTTTTTTTTTTTTTTCAGGCCACCAGGGCACCTTACTCCACTCCTTTGAGGTCCCCTTGATGGGGATGGTTGGGAAACCATACTAGGTATGGAAGCCATCCTTTCGCGGACCAGTTTCCGCTCGGCTATTGAACTAGGGCTTGCATCTGGGAGTTCATCCCCAAACGCCTGGAGAAGTTGGCCAGTCAGGGAATCGAACCAGCGACCCTCAGGTTAACAAGCTGGCGCCCAATTTTGGACAGGAGGCTTAGTGGTCTAGTGGCATGATTCTCGCTTTGGGTGCGAGAGGTCCAGGGTTCGATTCCCTGCTGAGCCCTTTTTATGCCAACTTGTTGCAACGTGTGAGAACGGCAAGAATTGTTGAAGGGGATTGTTGAAGTACGTGCGCTCGGCTAAGCGTGGCGAGACTGGAGGCAGCAGTTAAAGTTCGGGGAACAGCAAAGTTCGGGCGAAGCTAAGTTCGGGCAATGCTAAGTTCTGGTGAAGCAAAGTTCGGGTGAAGCTAAGTTCGGGCGAAGCTAAGTTCTGGTGAAGCAAAGTTCGGGCGAAGGTGAAGCAAAGTTCTGGTGAAGCTAAGTTCGGGCGAAACAAAGTTCGGGCGAAACAAAGTTCGGGCGAAGCTAAGTTCGGGTGAGCAAAGTTAGGTGAAGCAAAGTTCGGGCGAAGCAAAGCTCGGGTGAAGCTAAGTTCGGGGCCCCTCGGGTGGGGCGGGGCCCGGACGGGGGCCTCCGGACGGGGGCCCGGGAGGGGATCCCAGGAGGGGGCCCGCCGAGGGGGGGGCGCCCTCCGGGGCATCTATCGACCCATCGAATGTGGTGAAGTTCGGCAAGTGAAGCTAAGTTCTGCGCTCGTACCCGGGGGGGGCCGCCCCCCCCGGACCCCCCCCGCCGCCCCTCCGGGGGCGGCCTTTCCCCGCCCCAGGCCCACCCCCCCCTCCCCTCCGCCGGCCCCTCCCGGGGCCGCACCTCCCGGGGCCTCCGGACGGGGGCCCGGGAGGGGATCCCAGGAGGGGAGTCCAGTCTCGAAAAAGTGTGAGAATGGTGTTTACCCCCTCATTTACACTTCTTTCCCAATACATCACTCATTCACACTTCTTTCCCGATACATCACTCGTTCAAACTTCTTTCCCAATACATCACTCATTTACACTTCTTTCCCGAGACATCACTCATTTGCAACTTCTTTCCCGATACATCACTCATTTGCAACTTCTTTCCCGTTCGGTCACTCATTTGCATTTGGCTGAAGTTCAGCCTCAAATTCAGGTTTCCACCGAATTCTGACAGTGTAGTGTCACTCGAATGTCATCATGAGCTACGGAAAAGAACATAATAGGGGCCTGAGGTGTGTCACTTGAACGTAAAATGCATTCGACGAGGATTTAATTTGTGTACAGTGAGTCAGTCGAATGACCGAAATCAGGAAAAGGAAAAAGGAGTCCAGGAACGTGACGGTCAACCACAGCTTGCAAAGCTTGAGTCGGAGGCAGCACAGTGCTACAACCCCGTCCGATCTGCGACCGTCTCGACGAGCTTGTGCTCAGCGCAAGCGGCAAGCCCCAAAGGTGCGCCTCACGACTTGATGCCTTAGTTGGGTAATCGACCCGTAGCCCGTGGCACTGCACGTAAGCTTAGCAGGTTTTCCCTGCGTACCAGAAATGGGACACCCGCTAAATTAGATCGATGTATACAGAGAAGATTAGCATGGTCCCTGCCGTAAGTGGATCCCTGAGGCAGAGGCCAGTCGTCGGCGAAGGGCGGGGGGCAGGGTTCGCCGCGTCAGTGCGGGCTCTCGCCGCGCGGGTCAGGGACAGGGTGGCGCCACCACACGCCCTGCATGCGGGTCATTTCCCATTATAGTACACACTTTCTTAGAGTTACCCATTATAGTACATGTTTCGAGACTGGAGGTCCTATGAACATGCAATGTGAATAGCCTCTATTCGAGCCAACCCCACTTTTACTTTACTGTACTGTTTTGTACTAGATAATAGCGCGGAGCTGGCTTTTTCCGTTTTTCGGATTTTATGCCTGTATGGTCCACTTTAACAGTGCGACGGTCTCCGGACCCACAGGTCCGCGGTTCGATCCCCGCGCGAAGTGTTTTTTTCGGTTTGAAGTTTTTGAGAATTTTTCGAGACTGGAGGTCCTATGAACATGCAATGTTCACCAGAACTTTGCTTCACCCGAACTTCGCCCGAACTTTGCTTCGCCCGAACTTAGCTTCACCCGAACTTAGCTTCGCCCGAACTTTGTTTTGCCCGATCTTAGCTTCACCAGAACTTTGCTTCACCCGAACTTTGCTTCCCCCAGAACTTTGCTTCGCCCGAACTTTGCTTCACCAGAACTTAGCTTCGCCCGAACTTTGCTTCACCCGAACTTAGCTTCACCCGAACTTAGCTTCGCCCGAACTTTGTTTCGCCCGATCTTAGCTTCACCAGAACTTTGCTTCACCCGAACTTTGCTTCCCCCAGAACTTAGCTTCGCCCGGACTTTGTTTCGCCCGAACTTAGCTTGACCCGAACTTTGCTTCGCCCGAACTTTGCCTTCACCAGAACTTAGCTTCGCCCGAACTTTGCTTCGCCCGAACTTTGCTTCCCCCAGAACTTTGTTTCGCCCGAACTTTGCTTCACCAGAACTTTGCTTCATCCGAACTTGCTTCCCCCAGAACTTAGCTTCGCCCGGACTTTGTTTCGCCCGAACTTAGCTTGACCCGAACTTTGCTTCGCCCGAACTTTGCTTCACCAGAACTTAGCTTCCCCCAGAACTTTGTTTCGCCCGAACTTTGCTTCACCAGAACTTTGCTTCATCCGAACTTAGCTTCGCCCAGAACTTTGCTTCGCCCGAACTTTGTTTCGCCCCGAACTTTGTTTCGCCCGAACTTAGCTTCACCAGAACTTTGCTTCACCCGAACTTAGCTTCGCCCGAACTTTGCTTCACCAGAACTTAGCTTCCCCCAGAACTTTGTTTCGCCCGAACTTTGCTTCACCAGAACTTTGCTTCATCCGAACTTAGCTTCGCCCAGAACTTTGCTTCGCCCGAACTTTGTTTCGCCCGAACTTTGTTTCGCCCGAACTTAGCTTCACCAGAACTTTGCTTCACCCGAACTTAGCTTCGCCCGAACTTTGCTTCACCAGAACTTAGCTTCACCCGAACTTTGCTTCACCCGAACTTAGCTTCGCCGAACTTTGTTTCGCCCGATCTTAGCTTCACCAGAACGTCCGAACTTTGCTTCACCCAGAACTTAGCTTCGCCCGGACTTTGTTTCGCCCGAACTTAGCTTCACCTTCGCCCGAACTTTGCTTCACCAGAACTTTGCTCACCCGAACTTAGCTTCGCCCGAACTTTGCTTCGCCCGAACTTTGTTTCGCCCGAACTTAGCTTCACCCGAACTTTGCTTCACCAGAACTTAGCATTGCCCGAACTTAGCTTCGCCCGAACTTTGCTGTTCCCCGAACTTTAACTGCTGCCTCCAGTCTCGCCACGCGCCGGCCTTAGCCGAGCGCACGTACTTCCTTAGAGTTGCCCATTATAGTACATGTTTCCTTAGAGTTGCCCATTATAGTACACACACTTGAAACTCCTGGAAGGCCCCCAGAAATGCAAGAAAAATGCACAGAAACCGTAGTTTTTGCTTTTCTTCGTTTTTTTTTAGAGACCTCCCTTTCCCCAGCCGTGGCCCAGGCACGGGCTGCTGGTTGGGTGAAATACCAAAAGAGTACGGTTTCCTGACTCGGACCTGAGTTTGTGCCCAAAACTTGAGTTCCAAACTTGGGTCCCAAACTTGGGTCCCAAACTTGGGTCCCAAACTTGGGTCCCAAACTTGGGTCCCAAACTTGGGTCCCAAATCCCAGATCAACTCTAAGAAAAACCGTACTATCTTGGGATGTACTATAATGGGCAACTCTAACTTAGTCTTAGAGTCTAAGGAAACATGTACTATCTTGATCGAGAAAATAGTCGGAATAGTGACATTTCCGTTGAAAATGCTCAGTCAGCTATTTTAGCTATTTTAGCTATTTTCAGCTATAGCTAGCTAGCTATAGCTAGCTATCAGCTAGCTATAGCTAAGTCTCACACTGCTATAATGGGTAACTCTAAGGAAACATGTACTATCTTGATCAACTCTAAGAAAAACCGTACTATCTTGGGTATTGACTCCCTGCATGCACCCGCCGCCCCCGGCCGGGGGAGGGGCACAGCCATGGGGCGAACCCCCTCGGCCCACAGCACTGTGCACCCACAACTTTCCCACAATGTGGGCAGAATAGCCACAACATTTACCCACAAAGTATTGTGGCTATTGTGGCTAGAATCTTTTTTATTGTGGCCCCGTGGAACTGGTCCAGAAAACAGCGTTTTCTGGACACCAACACAACACAATTATACATACGTTTTTCGATGATGTATCGTGTTGTTCTCGTGTCCCCACCTGTGTTTGGACTATCTGGTATGTCTCTGTGTGCTTGTCAGCCTGGGGCCACCCTGACTGGGGTACTGGCGGCATCCTCCTGGGGTGCTGTGCTTACTGTAGAGAGGCGAAGTACTTTCTATTACTATCCCCAAACTTTTATACCATTCTATTACTATCGCAAACTTTTATACCATTCTATTACTATCCCCAAACTTTTATACCATTCTATTACTATCGCAAACTTTTATACCATTCTATTACTATCCCCAAACTTTTATACCATTCTATTACTATCCCCAAGTTTTTATACCATTCTATTACTATCCCCAAACTTTTGTACCATTCTATTTCTATCCCCCCCCCAAATTTTTGTACCATTTGGTTGGTGTCCCAGCAGTACCGAAAACGTTGAAGCGTTGTCCCACCGCACGAAACAAAGAGGCCCCTTTTTGCTTTGCCGCAAGTTTCAAGACGAATTCTCAAACTGCCAGCACGGAGTCTAAGTGGTTTCGGTCTCTCGTTTGCGGAGTCGACGACCCCGACATTCTGTTTTGCCCCGACTCCACCCTGTGGAGGGAGCTTCCGTGGGAATCCCACTCCAATCCTGTAGTTCCGCAGTTTGACGCTAATCAGGCTCAGATACGAGTCAGTACGCGTGCACGCAGCACGGTGCTGGATTCTGGAGTCTACGCTATATCGCCGAACAAAAGCCACTACGACTGTGCCCGGCCCAGGGTTCCACCGAAGATTTGGTCGACCGTTCAGCCACTCCGACGACTCAGACTGGTCGCCGGCCGCTGTGAAATCCACAAATAACGCTAGAAATCATCGGTCAGTTTCTTTGGCCCACCGCAGTCGCGCTCTGCTGCACAACCCTGCCGCCCGGGCCTGCGAGTCAGCACAAACCCTTCCATGTGGGTTACCGGCTTTGGTAATTCCATTTGAGAGTTCTCGCAGAACAGGTGTCATCAGGAATGCCAGGATGTCAACTGAGTCGGCAACATCAACTCGCAGAGCTTGGCTACGTTTCGTTTACGGGCAACACGTAGTACATGCTGCGGGAATGGTTCCCAGGCTGTCAATGGGACCCAGCCCTGGAAAGCCCGCGGCTCTCGGGGCTGGGGATGGAAAGTGGAAAAACAGTAGAAGTGTCGGGCACCCTGGACTTTGTGACTGTTCCTAACACTGTACTAACGTAATTCAGTGACCGACTCACTGGGTCAGACTGGGTGACACCAAAATGGGTTCAAAGTTTGGGAATGGGGTTCAGCTTTGGGACCGTAATGGGTTCAAGTTTTGACCATACTACAAGCCGGTCTCCTTCATGTTTGGATACCGCGTAATGGTCCACACAATGTGACACATTTACATCATGAGGCAACTTCACTTCCAAGTCGAATAGAGGCAGACTCGCACAAGGCTTTTGTGACAAGCATGTACTTGTTTTTGTACCGAGGGCTGCCAGCAATGGGTGAATTCAGTCTCCAGAGTTGCAATAGTAATAGAATGGTATAAAAGTTTGGGGGTAGTAATAGAATGGTATAAAAGTTTGGGGGTAGTAATAGAATGGAATAAAAGTTTGGGGGTAGTAATAGAATGGTACAAAAGTTTGGGGGTAGTAATAGAATGGTATAAAAGTTTGGGGGTAGTAATAGAATGGTATAAAAGTTTGAAATAGTAATAGAATGGGCAAAAACAGTTTCAAACGTCATATTTAGGACTTCACCTCTACTGTAGAAAAGTTGGTGAGGGAACTGAAGAACATTTTTTTGGGCTTTCTTGGCGAATTCAGATCGAGAACAGAGAGGAATTAGAGTGAAGTTCGGAGCTTCACCAGAAGTAAGGGGAACAGAGCTGATACATTCGAGGTGGTAAGCACCACCCCTCACCCCTGCCAGGGCACTGGCAAGCAGCAGTCTGGCGGAGGAGAGGTACTTCACTGAGTTTATGCAAGAGATATTCATAATGAGAACAGGGGGATTTTGGATGGGTGTGATTGCCAGTAATTATGACTCAGTAAAGAGCCCGGGCAACATTGTTAGGCGGTGATACATCATTGGAAGAAGATGTCTGACTCTGGGGTGGACTGGCATTTGTACCCTGCGGGCTGAGTGAGAACCACGGGGCAATGCAACTCTTTTGCTCTTCGGACAGCCGCATGGCAAGGCGTGTGAACATTCTTTTTTCTGTGGCTGCCTTCTTCTCAGATTCGGGTGCAAAGTGGTCGGCAGCAAGCTTCGGATAGTTAATCGCGATGATCGCCAAAGAAGATGCTTTTTGCGACTTTAAGGATGCGCGGTG